CCAAGTAATTTCTGGATCTGATACCTCTTTCACTTACTGTTTTTTATAAACTGGTTATCAACCAAAAGCAGTATTTCAATCTAAATTGTATGAAGCAGTATAAGTAAGATTCAGAGATGAACAGATTTTGGCAAGCTCACTATCTGTTAGGGTAACTATGCAATCCATTTATTTTAACAGGGTCAATGTCAGAAGCACTGCTACTAAGCTATTGAAAGTAAGACAGCTGAAAGGAGCACTACAGAACTTTAAAAATCCTTTATCTGGCAATCTAAAATAAGCCAGTCCTGTGCCCTGTTGATTTTCTTTCCTTTTTCCACTTGTTCTGTCATTACTGATTTCAGTTCCATGTTTTCCTTTGTTACCAAGCTACATCAGCATTATCAGTTCCTATCAGTTTTTCACTACTTTAGCCCCGCAGCTCAAACCGCATTTGTCTTTTACGCAAGCTTTTCCCCCTAATGATGAAAATCACCTCTAAACACAAGAAAACTTTTCTTCCCCTAAAGAAATCCAGCTTCTACCTAAACTGTACTGGTGTGTTTTCCGGCAATTCTCTGTCCAGAAGCAACTCTGTCCCCTTTCAATCTAACAAATTATTTCCACTTTGTATCAGTTCTCCAGCTATTTTTAACAAACTGTCTCTCCAGTACCCAAATAGACTCCCGGCCATATCTCCAACATAAGTTTGTACCTCGTTCATTAAGCCTATGCAGAAGCCTACCACTTAGTTACTTTCTGTGACTACCCCCGGAAAATGCAAATCTTTCCCACCCTAACATACAAGCTATTTGTCACACTAGCGAGTTTAGCTGATATTGCACTCTCCTTTGTATACTGCACTGATCCTTACTTCCTCCTAGACAGGAAATTTCTCATTACTCCAGTGTCAAAGAAGGGTCTTAGATCTCTGCTCCACTGAGACATCCTGGGTTCAGTGGGGATAAATGGTTACACGAGGCTGAGGGTTTTCCTGCCTGGGTCCTGGAAGGCAGTAAAATTTGTATCCTTCTCTTTGCTGTAGGTTCCCTGGGGCATGCTCTAACTGACAGCTGAAAAACATGTAGTGCAGCATTATTTTATCCCCTTATCACATCAAGGAGGTGGGTAACCAAGACTGACTGGGCTCCCCGGACAAAATATAGAGCAAACGGACTTGAGGGCAAATTTATGAAATGAGATGAACTAAAAAGAAGGGATCAACAGATACCAAATTCTTCTTGTAGAAGAAATTCAGCTGCCTCTTACAGAAAAGGAGCCTATGATAAATCTATATAACAGTAAAAAAATCAGCAATTTGCTCCACACAATTAACCTTGAGGCCTGCAAAGCAAACACATTTTCACTTAAATGGAGTGTCTTGCAAATGGTTATATTTCTACTCTTTGTAATAGTGCCTTCAATAATCAAGCAGACAGGATTATCAGTGACCACAGATTACAGCATAAGGTGTCATTATAGTCCATTTAGTATCACTTTCTAGAGGAGGAGATAAAACTGCCTGAGGTTATTTTATTGTTATTATATTTTATTCACATGATTACAAATGTATTGTCATTAGTTCAGCCCAAGATCGGTTTTTATTTCCAATTTGTCAGGTTGCACCTGAAATGGGACACACACACACAAACCCAGTTATAAATACGATTCTAAGGACAACTTAGCTTGCTTTCAGAAAGAAAACCTTTAAGCATTCTGAAACCAATACTCCAAAGTCTTAGTGTTACATATCAGAAGTGGTAATTGGCCAACTTCTTATAGCAAAGAACTCTGCTGGTGTTATTTTGTGATAATGATGCTGTTATATCTCTTCCCCTTTCAGTTAGTGCAATAGAAACTACAGAGCTTAATCCGAATCCTAAAAGCTGAACTGTAACGATAAGAGGAACATTCAGAATTTGGTATCACTCAGTTTCACATTTAACTCCAAAAAGTAACTTCTGAAACATAAGAGAAACTGCCACAGAAATTGTTTTGTACCCCAGAATGAAGGTGCCCAGTACTAAGGGCACATGAAGCATGTGTCAAAGAGTTACCTGCAGTGCAAGACAAAATATGGCAAGAATATGCAGTATTTATTGCAAAGCAAGAAACTGTCAAATGGGCCAGTCAAGAAGAATTTTGTTTGTAGACAGACAGCTTGATTAAGAGCATGATAATGCCCATGTAAGGACATCTGCATAATTTGCAAATATCAAAAACTACAGTTTATGTTTCTGCCCATGCCAATCCTTTCTATAACTAATAAGGCTTAAAAGAAATTATTTAGCATATATTCAACAAATGGGTTTCTATCAAGGTATTATCACATTTATACTAATTCAAAATTATTCCCATCATAATAAAATGCTGAAACTTCCTTTTTTTGTCCTATTAGCTAGCTAAAATATGACTTGTAATGACTTTGAGATTGCCAGTTTTTTCTAAGATGTTGTTATCCCAAAATGAAAGACTGAGAAATTTTAGTTTTGTTTTACTATTTAAAAATACATTAAGCTAGACATTTGCAGCAGTGCAACTGGATTATTAATGAGAATAAGCATGTTTCTTCTGTCCTTAATTAAGTTTACATTTCCGATCTGAGTTCTTCTGCATGAAACTACTGCTAACAAAAGCAGTTTGAATTATTGCTGAGACAGGTATTCATGCAACTAGGAAACTCCTTTTTGAGTTGGATACATCTTCTTAAATAACAGAATTAACGCAAATGCCAAATGACAAAAATTGAAAAAGCAATGGCACATTTTTGATACTTGGCTTAGGGAGTGATGAAACAGGAGATCTAGCAAAAGAAAGGACTCAATTGTGACACATGTATGGTAGTTTTAGTTAGATTTTTTTTTTTTTTTTTGTGCACAATACTTCATAGCATCTCATAAGGGAGGAATTTTCTATTTTCTTATTACTTTGTCAAATTCAAGTACCTCAGCATGGGACCATATTGTTACTGAGGCAGGATTTACCTTGGTAAAACACTTGTATTGAAAAATTGGTTTTTAACCAGTCTTACAAGCAGACAATTTAATAACTAGCATCAATGGAAAAACTCAGGTAAATAAGTAGCATAGGAAAAACTTACATTTCTTTAAAATAGTATAATTGCTTAGCAAAATATTTCAAATTTTTTCATTTGATTATTTTTATTCACTATTCAAGAAGCACATTTAGTGTATCTAGCATACATCTTTCCACATGAAATAAATATGAAACCTTCTTGTGTTCTGCTTTTAAGTGCATGGAACATTGAGCTATCTCTCTTCCTAGCAATGCTCTTTGCATCTGCTCTTCTTTTTGTCTGAAGACCTCCTTTTACTATGAATCCCTTCTCACAACATACTTCATAAGATTATTTTCAAACTCCATGATCAATGTTTTCCAAATATTGATAACAACCAGAAACACTGAGAAATTGTAGAAAAAGTAGTCAGGAGTAGCAAAGTTCCTCAAGGACATGAGCAGCAGCTGCAATCACTAGCTAGAAGGATTTACTCCGGCCAGAGAACAGCTAACTACCTTTCTATCACAAGCTCAATCCACTCTCCAGAGGAGCTGAGGAGAGGATGGGTATTGAGAGGAAGTGGGTGTTTACAGCTGCAGCCAGTTGCTACAGCTGATCCTTACCCCTGCATCCTAGCAGGACTGAACTGCAGCTGCAGGGAATCATTCAAAGACAGATGACCCCTCAAAAGAGAATTACCTTTTCAAAAAGTTTGATAAAATAACATGATGATTTGAGAGGATAATACAAAATGTTTCTCTGCCACCTGTTTCTTGCCAAAACGATGCTAGTCAGCATCTGTTGGAGGGAGCTGGTCCCTAGACACTCAACAATTCCATTCTTAAACATGGTCTTGTAGTGTCATTTGAAAGACAGCATCTTATGTATTCACAAGCAGCTCTGATGGGCTTTGTTGCTTTCACAGAATGAAGGGCTCTGTCAGCTTCAGCTGGACTAATTTTCAACATTACACAAACTTAAGCACAGAAACAGCTTGCACTTATGAAGATGGTTCTTTCATCAGATCCTGGAAGATGAACCCCAGCCATGAAGATGGAGGGAACAACTTGAATCATTAGAGCTGACAGCTGCTGCAATCTCCTTTGTTTAAGAAGAATTTATTTTTGTGTTTTCTACCTTGACTTTAACATCTCTACCTCACCTATTTTCCTACTAGTCATAATACTTCCAATGTCTGCAAAAGTTACAGAAATCGTGTATCATAAGAAACGCTTACTGGCATTATAAAACTAGTCCTTTTTTTTTTCTTAGCTAGTAGAGAACTTGATAACACAGTAGCTAATGCAGACAGTAGACTTAGCATTTAGATGCCAACATCACCCTTTAATGCATGTGTTATGAATTCTAAAGGATTTTGAAAACTAATAGAGATGGAGCTTTCTTTCCTGAAAATTTAAAGTCCACCGAGGATGGGAATGAAATGTTCTGAGTTGAAGAGATATCTACAATGGCCAGGAAGACAAACCCATCAGAAAAAAAAAAATGAAACAAAAATCACTGCAAGGGAAGAGAACTAAATAAAAAGAAATGTTGTTATTATACATGACATGACAGGAATCGAGATTCTTATTCTTGGAATAAAGCAAATCTTTTAAATTAGGAAAATAGGAATATGATATTTAGTATCATATCAACAAAGCCCCCTGATTTTCTAATGTTTATCTTACTCTTCACACAAAAATAACTTATGTATCCAATCTTGGCAAAGAGCAGCTTTGTTGACAAAATAATGTTTTACCAAGTTTAAAGGCATTGGTATAAGTAAAATAATGTAGGCAAATTCTGTATAATTAGTTAAAGTTAACTGCAGACTATTGTAATTATAATAATCACTGCTCTTCTCTACTTCTAGAAGTCACTAGGTGAGACTATTTTCAACACTGAAAGAAAACAGGAGAGCAACCGCACCCCTACCCGCAGCTCCTTCTCCATATACAGGCTTGCCAAGAACACAGCAAAATAACACAATTATTTTGCTTACCTCAATTTTTTCCCATATGGTTTCATAATTCTCTTGATGTTGTATATCTTGCATCAGTTGATGAATTAAAGCTGATTTATTTGAAGCAGAAGTCTCATTCCCAGTGGGCTGAGTGACAGCAGTCCTTTCTGACTTTTCTTCAATGTATTTTTTAATGCAAGATACAGGCATACAAAGATCTTCATCAGAGAGAATATCACTGAGAGGCCCAGATTCAATACTGTCACCTAAGGAGGATACTATATCACTTGAAGAGCTTGGTGAAATTCTACCCCTTTTTTTGTGCTTTTTTGTCTGGTATGTTGGATACATTTCTGAATCTGAGTTCATTTCTGAGAGCTCCCAGTCATCAATGTTTTGAATGGTTTCTCTTCTGGGCTTTTGAGGCAGCAACTTGGTCAAATTTTCTAGTTTTAAAGCTAGTACTTCAGTCTGTTTGAGATGTGAAGGAAGTGCTAAATATTCATCAGATCCATACCACACCTCACTGTCTTTCCTGGTTTTTTGAGTATAGTGTGTTGTAGAGGATAAGCTTTTATTTTTCTTTCTCGTCAGTAGAAGAGGGGATGAGTTGGAAAGCTCAGAACCAGCTGAAGAAGCAGTCTTTTGGCTATGTGTTGGTGAACTAAAGGACTCAGTTTTACCTTGTGATTGCCCATTTGGATCTTTCTGGTTACAAGAATCTGATGATGCAGAAGAATCAGTTTCCGTCTCCTCCAGAGCCTGAGAGTTATGAGGAGTGATTCCATTCTGTAGAGAATATCCTCCTTTTTTGTCTTCTGTTGATGGAGCTGTTTTACAAATATTTCCAGATGTTCTGCCAGCTTTCACTTTCTCTGGAGCATCATGACACTTCTTGTGCTTTGATTTTTCTTTAGAGGCGTAGAAAGTAGACTTTCCTAGAATTATGGGACTGTCTTTAAAGTGATTATTTATTGTGTAATCAAGATTTTTATCACTTATTGTATTTAAGCAATCATATGACTGACTAACTGCAAATGGACTGTTAGTATAGGGTGACTGTAAAGCTAGGCAAAGCTTGGACCTGTCTGGTGGATCTAACAATGAGGGTGTACTCCTACTCATTTCATTTTTGACTATTTGAGAGATTTGCCTTTTTAAATCATTAGCTTCCATACAATCTTTAAACACATCATCTTTCAGAAATAGACCTCTTTTTGGCAGTGTAGGCTGCGTAGGAGAGTCTTCATTATAGTTAAAGCAGTCTCTTATGGACCTCTTGGGAGTTGAGGTTTCACAGTGAGAGTGTTTGATTTTTTCACCAGTGTGCTGTGGAAGACTGCATTCTGGATTCTTTGATGTGGAAACTGGTTTGCTCTCAGTAGGTAAAATAACATTTTCAGAGCAAGGTCCTTTAGAAAGAGAGGAATTTGCAGAAGGAGATGCTAGTGAGAGATCATGTGGTGCTTTCTTGTCTTTGCTTTCTTCTCCATCTTCGGCTGAAAGAGGTACATTTGTTTCTTTCTCCTTTAATGCTTCATTACACTGGGAAGCAATGGAATCAGTAGCTACTGCAAGTAAACCCACACTTCTGATAAGTCCTGGAAATTCCTTATCCATCTCACTATAGTTCCAGGATTCAAATGATTTTGCTTTCCCTTGGCTGGAGGTCATATCATCCAGAGCACCAAGCAAATCCTCACTAGGACTGTAGTCAGATAGTTCAAATGCAGTAATACCACAATCCAGGGACAAGTAATTTTGAGAACATTTGATGGTTAACTGCCCAGAATCATCAACTTCAGTTAAAGAGTCAAGACGATCCTGAAATATATAAAGAAATGGTACTTTTTTAGTAAATAATTTTCATACACAGCACACACAAAGTAACAAACTATCGGCTTCTGTGTTTTTCTGCCTAACATTTAGAGAAGCATTTATCACTGACCTGTCTGTTTTTGCAGCATCCTGTAGATGAGCCAACTATTATGAAGTATTTGGGAATTAAAAATAGCAGTAAACTGAAAAATGCTTCATTTCAGTCTGGTGCAGCAAGTTACCTAAAAACAGCCTAAATCACTTTTGTATTGTTGTTTTCCTCATTAAATTCTGCTTTCAGTTCTACTTACTGTGTAAGGGGGACTCAGAAATTCCATACAGCACACTCATAGTATTTCTTGCGATAACTACCTCAAACAGAGGGAGAGTATCCTGGGGACTGCTGAGTACACCAGTCTCCTTGTTAATCCTGTGTTCTCAAAAATCCATGCTGCTCTTGATTCCCAGAATGTTTTTTCCAAGCATCATGTAGCAATGACAGACATTTCTTTCCACATTTATGAGATAGACGTTGTTAATTACATTTCACTTTTTTGTAGTATTATCACCTGAAAATTTATTTGCCAAATATTTAAAGCACAAATGAAGAACATCTCAAGGAAAGAAAACTCTATCCAGGAATGCTAAACCTCTAACCTGCCATGTCCCCTTGTCAATATCTTCTCATTGGAAGTCCTTTAATCTCAGAAACATGGACATAGCCAGAGGAGACCATCTCAGATGGCAAATGAGATTTTAAGATCAAAGTCAAATTAATGTGTATGGTCTTACTTGAAGGACACTAAAAAATTCTGATGAGATTAAGATCCAAATACTGCATGATACCTAACAATCACAGGAAAATTGTGTTTAGTCTACAGTTTGTAAGCATATTTTTAGTAGATGTTCTAACACCTACACAGGCCTTCTGCTTACAGAGACTACTTAAAAAAAAATCAAAGAGGGGAGAAATTCATGTTCATATATTCTAAATTTAATGCCTAAATCAGTATACTGTTTTTTTCTTTCCAGGTTTGGTTTTCATAACAATTTTTTTAAGCAAACTCTTGAGTATCCACAATCAGTTCATGTCGGAATTATTCTCTGTACCACTATACACCTGTCTCACTATTCTGCCTAAAGGTTTGAGGACCTTAAATACCATGCCTGAAGAAGGTGCAATAACCACATAATCTCTTCATCTCACAATAAACCTCTTGGATTTGGTCTGAACGGGAATCATCTCAAAAAAGGAGGCTATTTTTTGCCAACTTCTACAAACATCTAATGTTTGAGCCTTGTACTCTATCCACCCCCCTTCCATTACTCAAAGTAAAAACAGAAAAAATCCTCCAGCTAAAAATATTATTTATATAATAGATTGATTAGAAAGTTATTTATCAACCATAAGCTTAGACATTGAAAATATCTTTTATTTAGCACATTCCACCCAGATGTAGAACCTATGTCACAAACTGGACATTGTCAACAGTTCATAATTAAAAGGGGAATTTTCTATGAATCTGTCAAATTTATATTTTGAAGTTGTATTTATTAAGGAAAATTATGACTAAACAATGATCAGTATTACAGGTGCATTTTCCCTCTAATCTCAGGAAAAGATTACAAACTGTAAAATCATATACAAATCAAAACCCTTTCCAAGGCCCTAAAGGCCTTTATTTCTCCTGAATAATGAGATCCATTCCTTTGTCTCTTAAAAATGTGTCTATTAACAGTAATAAAATTTACAATCATATCTTGCTTGGTTATTTTCCAAGCAGCGTCTGAAATGTGTGCTTCAGAGGAGCATTATTTAATGCCAGTATTACCAAATTTTTATTGTTTTTATTTCAGAAAAATGTTAAATTTAATTATTTCTATGGCTACCAATAGGAATGACTTAGTTAAATTCTTTTTTTCCCTTTTCACATAGTAATGCTTCCTGTAAAGGTCTATAGGCTCTTTCCAATACCTTCTTATATTTATATTTAAAGCAGTAAAATCTGCCTTTTTTTTACTCTTTCAAATGAACATATTTAAGGTGTAAGGCACTTCTTTTGTGATTTTACCAGCTGATGGAGAATCAGGATTTACTGTATTTTAACATAGCCTTTTACTGATCTTTTCCCTATTTCCTGGCTTTATCAATTCTAAAATAAAACTCACAGGTTAGGTTTAGCTGGACAGAATTCAGGCTGCACAGAACTAATTTTTCTATCTTTCTTAACATCTCTGGGTAATTCCTGAAGGAAAAGTGGTCCTTCAAAATCCCTACTCTCCAAAGCTTTTTATTAAAACAATTATTTTCTTAATTTTGCATCTCCATCATGGCAGACAGCTTGCCTTACTGTTTCCTCTTATTTCCTCCAAGACAAAAAGCTTTGTGTGCCCTTTCCTTCCGGCATCCTATTCAGTGTGGCACTGCTGGGATAGCCTAAAGCACAATTATTGCCTGCCCAGTAAATGAGTTGGGTATCTAACCAAGCCAGTACAGCCCGTGCTGTACACTTTTGTGTTTTGGTAGCTAATCTACCAGTGTTATCCCTGTTCATTATGTTGAGGACAGCTTGTGCATACTTACGGGTGTTATAGCCACAGTGTAAATACAGCCCAGATGGGACTTGCACCGTGACTACTGTGCAGTCTGGGAACTTAGAGTGAATATTAACGTGATGAGACTGAACACAAAAGAAACCTTGGCAGTTCACTTCTTCTAGGGAACTCCTCAGTTAACGCTGGCAGCCAAAGCTGTTCTTCAGCATCACACAGAAGTCAATGGACTTAAGGAGTGATCCAAACATTTTGTGAAATTATAGGTTCATGAACTTTAGAAAAGCATAGCATTTGAAATTTGTTCAGATTAAATTTCCATATGGCTCAGCATCCTGTCTCTGCATCAGTTCAAAACATTCTCTGCTAGCTGAGCTACGAGATGTGGGTCTACATACATTCTTCTCCACACATTTCTACCTGCATTCCCAGCTTCTACCAATGAGCAGCATAGGAACTTCCTTATCTGGAGGTTTAATTTTTGTATCATTCTCGTATCTTTGCTTAATTTTCACATTTATTTTTTTATCTTTTCTGCACTTCTAAGTGTTCTACTCTAGTGAACTCCAAAATAGAAGTCTTTGTTGTGTGTGAAAGTTTCCTTCTGTAAATTTAAATCAGATGATTTCTCAGTCTTAGGAGGAAAAATAAACTGCCATTCCTGGTTCATAATCCCAAAGGCGTACTGAAAATTAGTGAAATGACTCTCCAAGGAATCCATATGGGCAAAGTTTTCTAGGTTTGCTCAGACTCCTGATTCACCTATGCATGAAAATCCTTAACAGAAAATATTTGTATCATGAGGCACTCACTAGTTCCACAATGTAGTCCTGCCTGGGAAGGGATGGAGGGGGGGAAGAAACATCAAAGAAAAGGTGAATAAGAGTAGATACAATTGTTTCTACATTATATTTATTTGTTTATGTTCATCAGTTAGCTGCTATCACTATACCTGATAAAAAGCTTAAATACCTGAAAGTTAGAAACTGCAGAGCAATTTCTGTGAACTTATTTAAGTAATAGGGGAGAAATTCTATATCAACTTTGTATCCCTGCTATTGATAGCCATTAATTTTATCAAATATTCTTTATGTTTTAATTGGGGTGGGTAAAAGGAATGATGTCAGGATATTTCATCTTTTATATTACCATGTAAGCCTATCCGGCAACCATATATTTTACCCACTGAAAAATAATCTTTCCTTCTCCAGTCAGTCCTCTACTCCATTGGACGGATGTTTTCTATAGCAGTCATAATCAGATCCAGATGGAACATTTCCTGTTTCTTGGTATCTGAATCTGCACCTTCTTTATGTCTTGAAATTACCATGTGCATGTCATAAAATAATGACTTCACACTAATTCACCAGTCTGGATATTAAGACAAGTGTAGATTTCCTTCAGACTTGCCAGAGGTTTACCAGCAACAGCAAAGCAGAAACTGAATCTGAAGCACCAGGTATGTATACATCAAGAAGAGGAGATGTGAAAGGTGGGCCTGGGCATCTCTGAGCATTGATTTCTGGCACCCACCCCGTTGTTCCAAAGACAAATATAAAACCCAACAGGAAGCAGACAAATATGCACATTCTCTTTGAACTTGAGTGATAATGAAATTCAGGACATCTTTAGGGGACTTCTGACTTCCTCTGTAACACAGGTTGTTACAGAATTCACTGCACTGATCTAGAGGTCTCTTTCTGTAAATGCATCTAATCCTGACAAAAGCATTTGGTCTTAATCTTAGGACTTTCACCAAATGAAAAATCTTCTACATACTATCAATCATTAATTACCTAAATAAAAATTAAAACTGTGCATATTCTTTAAGTTTAAAAAATTAGGCCAGTAGTGTCCTTCTAAGTAAGTTGATTTAGTAATGATCAAATAAAGGAAAAGACTTTTTAGTTACATGAACTCAGATTTACAAACCATTTACGTTTGTGAATTTGACATACTGTTGAGTAAACAATGTATGATTTGTGCATTGTTGTTTCTCAGACAAAACGTGTGACTGTTTAAAGGCACGCTGCAGAATTGCCACTCAAATTAAAGCCCATCCTCCTGCTATAAAGCAATGTAGACCCAGTCTGGAAATTGGCTATAAACCTCAAATACATGAGTGACCAAACCAACAGCTTTGGAACAGATGAACCTCTGTAAGTGTTTCAAATCCTTTCTGAAAAATATTTCCATCAGGAGAAAACATTGCTAGCCTCTAGCATGACATTTCTGAAAGCTGACATTAATTTGCACTAATTTGGTTCAACAAGAACAGATATCAGCCAAAGACATTTAAAACAAACTTAGCAAAATATCTAGAAGACAAGTAAGCCATCCTTAAAATTGTCATCCTAGCAATTTTAAATGTGCAACATTCTCAAAATTGGATTTAGTTATTATACCTCCTTAGTCTCTTCAGAAAATGCTTGCAGAATATCAGTCTGCCTGGTGTAGTTTCCATTGGCGTCTTGTAGTCCCTGGAGAATACGCTCTCTCAGAACCAGAACAGAAACTCGTAGCTGGTGCCAGAGTAGTTGTACTGTATGGATATCGACTATCACATTGACAGAGTAAGACAGAAGCTTCAGGGAAAACTCAGTCTCTAGTAGAGCGTGAATTTGTTCAACATGATCAGATATATCTTCACAAATATCCTGTAATGGAAAAATAAAGTCGACATTTAGCTACAGGCATGGTCCTTTCATGGATCAGCTCTGCTTTTCATGTACTTTTAATTAAATGCTGAATAGATTATTTCATAGAGGAAAGATACTGTAATTAATACATTAATTAAATTATCTTTTATTTTTATTTTTTTTTAATTCATAGCAATGCTACAGCAACTGAACCAGCAGCTGTCTGTTCTCAATACTGCTCAGTAAGTGCAGAGAAAGCATACAGTAAAGAAGGATGGCACAACAAGATCACATGATTCAGAAGCAGAAAACTAACACCATAAGGTGACATTCTAGAAGACAGCAATAAGAATGAAAGTGATAATATTGCCATGGGCTGTCTCTGTCTCTGCTCCACACACATGCACACCAGTTGAAATGCAAAGAATCTGGTCTGTGCCATCATCAATAAAATTCATTTAATCTAGCCTCTATAACCAAGTAGCGCAAAAGTCATTGTGAATAAGCTATTTCTGTGACCCATTGCTGACTGCAGGAGTGAGAGGGCTTTAAGGGCTTTAAGGTTTGCATAGTCTTGTCCTGGGCCTAAAACTGAACTGAAGAAGATTGATGGACAAGGAGAAAGAGAGAAAACAGAGATGTGAACAACTGTGTTAAGAAAGGAGAAAAGAGAAAAGTTACCAGGTTATAAAACTAAGGTTTTGATGGGATGGTATTCTTCAAATTTAACAATTAATGTTACTGATTGCTAAACTGTGCTGAATACAGAGTAAAATCATTTCAAACTACTCTTAATTTTCTTTGTGAAAGGATAAATCACAATACTAAAGAATATTTAGGCATATGCTATTGAGCAAACAACACTGCTTTGTAACAACTTTGTTTGAAAACTATGTGTAAAAAGCCTGTTATAAACAAGTAAGGAAATTTTGATTAAAACACTGAAAAAAACTAACACTGGATCCTAAGGCCTTTTTTCCTAGATATCTGGCATATATTTAAAGGAGACTTAATAGCATATTTAAATACAACACCTATTTCTTAAAAATATATAAATTTAATTCAAACCTTCAGAAATATCCTTTTTATATACATCAATAAAAATGAGAAAATTATTACCATGAAGACTTACTACAATAAATAATGAAACTTTATTACAATGAAGCAGTCTCTGATGATACTCTTGTGGTTTCGTACAGCGATAGCATAACAGGAAAATCAGAAAATCTCATTATTTATAAAATAATAATACTGTACACTGCTTTCTATCAGTTCAGATTTGGCATCTTCAGTCTGAAAGTAAAGACAAATTATTGCTTATGTAATTGTACATATGTAACAAATTAAACCAAAATCAAATATCTAGATAATATTAAATAATTCTGTACAACAGATAGCACAATATTAGCTACTATCATTGAGTGCAATTGGTACTTACTCATTTTAATAAAGCACTGACAATTACATCAAGTTCCCTGCAGGAGCAGTTCTCAGAAATGCCAGATGAGCACAAAAGTTTGGAGTTTCAATGAGCAGAGTGTTGGGACTGCCATGAGAGAAAGGCAGTATCTCCTCAGTTCCCTTGCTGTAACAGCCAGAATCTATATTTGCAAGTACAATACACACAGCTTCGTCTGCCAACATCTAGCGCTGCAAGTGCTCAGGGATTCAAATATCCACACGCTTTGAGGTGAGCAAATAGATGCTCTACTTACTAGATTAGTATGCTCATCTAATTCTACAGATACACAGAGAAAGCTAAAACTCTTAGCAAAATATTTTCCAGGCTTTGGAAAAAGTTATTATTATCCATTTAGTTATTGTTGTCCATTCATCCAACTACAACTGATACTTGACTGAAAAACACAGCTGTAATTCTATGTTGTTTCAAATGTTTTAAAGAATATTTCTAGTGAATTAGTTTGACTGAATTTGCATTCAGTTCTTCAAGATTGTCAGTCTCTTTTTCCTCTTGGCCATAATGCAGTTTAATTTTCATTCCAGGGATAAAAAAATAAATTGTTGCCCAGTAACTGTAATTTTTTTAATTAGGCACAATCTATAGAAAAATACTTAATATCTCTTCATTTAGGCTATTTATGTGAATGAGCTTAAGGATGTGCCAAACTGCAAAAACAAATTTTCAGTATTTTCCAGGTTCACATACACAGGTACATGCTGAATTCAACTGCCATAAGAATTCTCAGAGTGGTAGAAAAAACAAAGCCGTAAGAGGAAAGAATTAACAATCAGCAAGTGTCTCCTGACAACTGTTAGATAATGTACTGAAAATATTGGCTAATGAATCTAGATAACACTCTAAATCAAGAATTCAGACTCACACTTCAAAAAAGTTTTCTCTTGATCTCCCATTATGCTAGCTACCAAAGCATCTCAAATTTCTGAAACTTTCCACAACAAAACAGACAATTTTTTGCTGAAATGCAAATCCCAGTACCACTAGAGGTTTGAAAGAAGTAGATATTCAAGGACATATGCTGTTAATTTTTACATCCTTGCTATAAGTTGCTCATTTTCCTCAAAAAGCAAAGTCTACTTACTCACAGACTACTGCAGGTACAGCAGAGCCAAGTGCTTTACGTACTAACAAGATAATTAACAGTTCCTGAGATTCAGTAACATGGAAAGAACATAAGGCCAACCTTGATCACATCCAAATAAAGGTCACACACTCTGACCTTAACATATAACACTACCATCTCAGTAAAAGACAAAGTACCAGCTCGTAAAGGATTTAGGTTATGAACAGAATGGGTGGCCAAAGAGAAGAAGTGAGTATATTTTCCAAGTGGTTGAATGATCCAGGAAGGAAATCAAGTCCCTACATACCTTTTCATAACATATAAAATCTGAGCTCTATTTTCTGACTGTATCATCAGCTCTCTCTTTCTTCTGGCCTGGAATCAGTACAGCTTTGAATGGTCACTATAGTCTAGTCTTTACTTATATGTGAGAATTGAAAGGATTTTTCCCTTTCTGATAAGTATGTTGACAGGATGTAATCTTTAGGGTTATTAGTTTGGGAGTTTTTTTCATTCTTTTCTTGTGAGATGAAAATCTGATTGAAACACTCAGGATGTCTGATTATGTCCAGTTCAATATTTCATATATGCTGTGCAGTCCATCTGCATATGCACTCTAAGTCTGAAGACAAACAAAAGTAGGCTGGATTCATTGTGTGCTTAGAGATCAGCAGTGTCAGTGCAACTCTCTTACTGAACAGGCACCAGCTGCTGATGTGATATCTAGTAGCTGAGCAGCAGTTCCTGATATTTCAGACTCCACATGCACGACACACTGTCGTATATCAGTCTGTTGGGTATTTCTTAAAAAAAATGTGAGGAGTCATAGGTTGACATTCCCACATCACATAGCAATCTTTTGGTGGGTGACTTCTATTTCAGCTGAGCTTATAGCCTTTGTCAAAAGAACTGGATTTCATTTCACCACAGATCAGGTTCCTGGATAAAATGAGTTAGACTTTGGTTTGTGGGAAGTCAATCTTATATAAAGTTGGTAAAAAAAAAATTAGGTCCCTATCGTTATCCTCTTTGTTTTTTAATTGTCATATGATGATGTGAAGGTGAAGGCTGTGCAAAGGACAGAAAAATAGCTGTATAAAGGCTAACACTAGCTTTCAAGAGAACAAAATTATGAAGAAATTATAACTTTTGCCAAATAACTTCATGCTGATTAGTCTTCAGCAGAAAGACATTAATAAAGCTGCATCCTATTTACTTGCATCTCTTCTCTACATATGCCTAAAGCAAACCAGCATATTGAGAGGAAACAATATAATGTCAAATCCAGTTGGCACTGTGTAGCACAACTTTTCTTATTACAGTACTTGATGTCCAGATTCACATATAATTCAGAAAAAATAAATAATTATATCAGGCACAGCTGTAAATTTAATAATTTTCTGTAATAATTAATGCAGTTCAAATACTGCATAAAAATGTCATGTTATGTAAGTTCATAATTTTACTGAGGCTCAATATCAAGATCTGGTACAACATGGCCTCATTCTCCTTATTCTTCCTAACTCCTTGTTGGTGACTTAGCATTAGATACAGCAAAAGCAGCAGAACATTGTCATGTGCCCTTTTTACACTTTGAATTTATAAATAAAGAATAGCAGTATCACAAGATAGTACCTAAATGCTGTCATGAGTGCCAGTTGCTCTTACCAAAAGTGGCAGGTAGATAAAATAAACCATGTACTTTTAAGTAATAAGAAAACAGCATTTATCTATTGACATCTACTTGTAAATATATGCCAGGTCAATGGCAATTTTATTTTTTTGCCAAAAAAAAAAAATATTATAACTTGATTTTTAGAAAGCACCATTTCCAAACCATTTCTTATAGTCATTAATCTCACGCATAAACTAGGGCATTTTTATTTTTACACAGTTTCATAGTGGTGTTAAAGATTTTGTCATCCTCTCACGGGCTTTCCTGTAGCACTGACTGTGGAATTTCTTAGGCTACAAGGGTTGTACCCATTTGGCTGCCAACTGCCCACTTCACTCAGTCTTCCAGACAGCTGATCCTGTTATTTGCAGCTGCTGAATCCATCAGCCTCCTCACAGCCCTCCACATCAACTAAAATATCCTGAACTGCAAACACTGCAGTAGATGAAGAAAAAGTGCATAAACAAACCCTCAAGAGTCAATGAAAACAGCTTTGATGTCGACTTTTAAGAATATTTTCTCTCTGGTCTTCAAGAAATTGTGTTAATATGTACATGAAAATACTGAAAGATAAAAGGTTGCAATATGTTTCTTTAGAGTTAGTATCAGTGACAGCGAAGCTATTCTGGAGATTTCTATTCTTTGATCTTGCAGTAAAACCTCAGCAGGAAAAACAGATTGCCATTGAGTCTGTACATGCAAACATAATCTATGATTTAAGATATTTGGTCTTTCCTTTTAAGTACATTTTAATTCCTCAGAAGACAAATATTCCAATCAAAATATACAAATTCTTCTCT